TCTTCTGTCAGTGCTGGATTTCGTGTCTCAGGATGAGATGTTGACTCCTCTGAGCCGACTGGACAAATACATCAGCAGCGAGAACGTCTTCAACAGGTGAAACACACACATGAACACACACACACACTGCTGATGTTCTGCTCGGGATGAACACACACCACACTCCTAACAATAATAAAAATCAGTTTTGCACCCGCTTCAGAGGGAAAAATCTTAAATGTGAATGATGCGAGCTGGAGACCGTGACGTAGGGAATATCTCACACACACACACACACACACACACACCATGATTGGCTTGTTCACTGCTGGTTGCTAGGTTACCAATACTACAGTCGGCCACTTTAATGATGATGGAAACACGGTTATACTAGGGAATTTTTTTAAACTTTTGTTTGCGAACTTTGAAAAGTGTGTGTGTGTGTGTCTGTTTGTTTGTGTGTGTGTGTGTGTGTGTCTGTTTGTTTGTTTGTTTGTGTGTGTGTGTGTGTGTGTCTGTTTGTTTGTTTGTGTGTGTGTGTGTGTGTGTCTGTTTGTTTGTGTAAGTGTGTGTGTGTGTGTGTCTGTCTGTTTGTGTGTGTGTGTTTGTGTGTGTGTGTGTGTGTGTGTGTAGTTGATCATGTGTGTGTTTGGCGTGTTTCAGGCAGATGGTGGCCCGCAGTCTTCTAGACACACTCCGTGCTGTTAGTGAAGATGAGCATGAGTGTGTGTCTGTGCTGGAGAGAATCGACAGACTCGCAGACGACTCCGGTACTGATTCACTGATTCACTGAGTCACTGATTCACTGATTCACTGATTCACTGAGTGGTGTTTGACAGCTCGGAGAGCTTCTGACTTCATTAGGGAAGCAAAATGAAGCCGCTGTAGCTGATGCTCAGAATCAATGCTCAGTATATTTGATGAGGTGTGTTCCAGTGTGTAACTCTATTGTGTGTGTGTGTGTGTGTGTGTGTGTGTGTGTGTGTGTGTGTGTGTGTGTGTGTGTGTGTGTGTGTGTGTGTGTTACACAGAGCCGACGGTGCGGGCGGAGCTGATGGAGCAGATCCCACACATCGCCATCTTCTGCCAGGAGAACCGGCCCTCCATCCCCTCCGCCTTCTCCAGATACCTGCTGCCCATCGTGGTGCGCTACCTGGCGGACCAGAACAACCTGGTGAGTGTCTTTGTGTGTTTATGTGTTTGTGAGTTTATGTGTTTGTGTGTGTGTGTGTGAGTGTGTGTGTGTGTGTGAGAGAGTGTGTGAGAGAGTGTGTGAGAGTGTGAGTGTTTGTCAGTAGGGCTGTGCATTCATTCATTCAGTTTCTTTTCGGATTAGTCCCTTTATTCATCAGGGGTCGCCCACAGTGGAATGAACCACCAACTATTCCAGCATATGTTTTACACAGCGGATGCTCTTCTAGCTGCAACCTAGTACTGGGAAACACACATACACACTCATACACTACGGTTGATCAGTTCCCCTATAGCGCATGTGTTTGGACTGTGGGGGAAACCGGAGGAAACCCACACCAACACAGGGAGAACATGCAAACTCCACACAGAAACACCAACTGACCCAGCCGAGACTCAAACCAGAGACCTTCTTGCCCGCTGTAGGGCTGTGCAGTTAACAGAAATGAAATCATAATGGCTGTTTGAGCATATCAATAGCTGCTTTTCCACTATCGTGCCAAACCGTTCTAAGAACACTTCGGTACGGTTACGGTTGTTTCTCCACTGAGCCTGGAACGGCGCGGCACGATTACAAACCGTTCTTGGCCCGGAATTTTCGGCACGGTTAGACAACCGTGCTGAACTGTGCTGATAGATTCTGTGTGTTGACGTCGCGACTCGGTTGCTAAGCTACCACAGCTGGCTCAGCAGAAGCGCGCTAGTCATCAGACATCCTCAATAAACTACAGTACATTTAATATAAAATAATGATCCAGGTCTAAACGATACGGTTTGAAAAGGGTTTTAAAACCATAGAGCAGTCTCTGGCAGAGAAGTGAATAACTCATCACATTCTTACGAACATATTTTATTCATTAAAGTTATTATTTTATTGACTTGAATACAGACCTACATCGCTTGCCTGAATGTGAGTTTATTGCACGCAGCGCTGTATTCCACAGCACAAAACTCGCTCTGATCCGGGAGAGACATGCAAGCGACTTGCGCTGCTGACTTTTTTTCCTGCTGCGCATCGAATAAAGCGAATAAAGTCACGCTTTGCATCGTCGATGTCTAAATTCCACAACAACATCACTATATCCATGGAACACGAACTTGCAGACTCTTTTAACAACGAGGAAATAATTGCACTTTTTAATTCAAAGCCAGGACAGCTTGTTAATACCGGCGAGACCACCTGAAGGACGGCGTGTTCGTGTTGTAATGTCGGCCGTCCAAAAGACTTTGCTTGAAAGCTTTACGGAGCGGCACTGTAACTGTCCAAGGTACTGTTGTATGATTTATATTATAGCATATGCACTAATAAACAAGTCAAAAGAATGAAATAATTAAATAAATATGGATTCTTAAATGTCAGTATTGCTTTTACTTAAAAAAATATCAATACGTTTTCACAAATGTTTTATAAAAATAAAATGAGCAATTTTTATTATTTCAGCTATAGGCAATTATATGATTCAATTATACATAAGTTATATGACATTTATGAGGCTTGTAACATGTTTCTGTGTTTTTTTTTTGTGGTGATCTTTAATATAGCTACGCAAATATTTTCTAAAACGTCTAGCAATAATTCGCCTACAACTTGTTAGTTAATTATGAACACAAAAATAATTATAATAATAAAAATAAAATGATCAAAATAAAAAGATAATAGAGCATCATTTTGCTAAATATAATAGTGCTTTATATGCTTTAAATCCTGCGATATATTTTCATATTCGTTTTTTTTTTCACTTGCTGCATTCGTTATTTAATGTTTGAATAGTAAAACAAATAACAGCCATCGCTTAATTGGTTTCATTTTACCATCAAAATGTAGTATATTTTATATCATTATCAACTTTTTATATAAATACGCAGTGTAATTTAAATAATTGTTTAAAATGAAATAATTTAAGTGCTGTGTTTTTATTAGTGAAAGTGCCCGCTCACCTTTGACAAGGCCTGTCCAAAATTATATTTCTGCCACTATAATGCAAATGCATTATTATTGTTGTCTTATCATTGTTTATTTTTCTGTTATGTTCAGAGATTTTAAATATTATTTATTTCCCCTCCAATTATTTTCAATCATCACGTTACATTTTGGTAATTTTCCCTCCAAATAAAATTTAGCCAGAGCTGCGCAACATATGAATAAATAAGGGTGCACATGTACCTATATTTAGCACCCCTATATGATAGAGCGGCATAACAGTGTTTAGTCACATGGTTGCTTTTGCTTTTATGAAAAAAATAAATAAATAGTTTCGGCTCTTATTTAACTTTAATTGAACAAAGGGAGCCGTTTACATTGCGTTACCAAGGCAACTACTGATGCGTTTTGTGTAATGTTTTAAAGAGCTTTGTCGCAGCACGACAGTGGAAAATGAAACCGTATCCGTGCTGTCTGGCCCGGTTTGGCACGGAATGGAACAGTTCTGTTTAAAGAACGATTCAGCACGATAGTGGAAAAGCGGCTATTTTCATTCATTCAATCAGCATTATATATTGCACTATATGTGTGTGTGTGTGTGTGTGTGTGTGTGTGTGTGTGTGTGTGTGTGTCAGGTGCGTAAGACGAGCCAGGCGGCGCTGCTGGTTCTGCTGGAGCAGGAGCTGATGGAGCGAGCAGACGTGGAGACTCTGGTGTGTCCGGTTCTGGTGGATCTCACCGCTCCAGACAGCAATGATGACGTCAAGACTGAAGCCATGGCGGTGAGAGTGTCACGATTACTAAAACCAGAACAAAACTGAACTGAGTGTGTTGAAGAGTGACAGAGAATTTTACTGAACTAAAACCGTTCGATATGTTTAATATCTCAGTGTAAATGAGCTCTTCATATATCCTCATATATCGCATGTGTTTCTACTGTATGTGTAGTTAGTGTAGTTGGATTAGTGTGTTGCTTGTGTAGAGGTTTACCACAGCTCCAGTGTTTATATATTTCCTGTAGTTTCTTCATGTAGCACCGTGAATCTGCGAGACTCCACATGCTCTGCAGTGACAGTAAAGCTCCACTCGCCTTGAAAACGATGAAGTAAAACACGAGTGATGATCATCGAGTGTGTGTGTGTCTGTGTGTGTGTGTGTGTGTCTGATCTCAGATCATCTGTAAGATGGCACCGATGGTGGGGAAAGACATCACGGAGCGTCTGTTCCTGCCGCGCTTCTGCGAGATGTGTTGTGACTGCCGCATGTTCCACGTACGCAAGGTGAGAATCCCTGATCCAGGGTCTGAACACTGATCTCAGAGCTGATCCAGAGTTAGTCTGAACACTGATCTCAGAGCTGATCCAGAGTTAGTCTGAACACTGATCTCAGAGCTGATCCAGAGTTAGTCTGAACGCTGATCTCAGAGCTGATCCAGAGTTAGTCTCAACGCTGATCTCAGAGCTGATCCAGAGTTAGTCTGAACGCTGATCTCAGAGCTGATCCAGAGTTAGTCTGAACACTGATCTCAGAGCTGATCCAGAGTTAGTCTCAACACTGATCTCAGAGCTGATCCAGAGTTAGTCTGAACACTGATCTCAGAGCTGATCCAGAGTTAGTCTGAACACTGATCTCAGAGCTGATCCAGAGTTAGTCTGAACGCTGATCTCAGAGCTGATCCAGAGTTAGTCTCAACGCTGATCTCAGAGCTGATCCAGAGTTAGTCTGAACGCTGATCTCAGAGCTGATCCAGAGTTAGTCTCAACACTGATCTCAGAGCTGATCCAGAGTTAGTCTGAACACTGATCTCAGAGCTGATCCAGAGTTAGTCTGAACGCTGATCTCAGAGCTGATCCAGAGTTAGTCTGAACGCTGATCTCAGAGCTGATCCAGAGTTAGTCTGAACACTGATCTCAGAGCTGATCCAGAGTTAGTCTGAACACTGATCTCAGAGCTGATCCAGAGTTAGTCTGAACACTGATCTCAGAGCTGATCCAGAGTTAGTCTGAACACTGATCTCAGAGCTGATCTAGAGTTAGTCTGAACACTGATCTCAGAGCTGATCCAGAGTTAGTCTGAACGCTGATCTCAGAGCTGATCCAGAGTTAGTCTGAACACTGATCTCAGAGCTGATCCAGAGTTAGTCTGAACACTGATCTCAGAGCTGATCCAGAGTTAGTCTGAAAGCTGATCTCAGAGCTGATCCAGAGTCTGAACACTGATCTCAGAGCTGATCCAGAGTTAGTCTGAACGCTGATCTCAGAGCTGATCCAGAGTTAGTCTGAACACTGATCTCAGAGCTGATCCAGAGTTAGTCTGAACACTGATCTCAGAGCTGATCCAGAGTTAGTCTGAACACTGATCTCAGAGCTGATCTAGAGATCAGTTAGTCTGAACACTGATCTCAGAGCTGATCCAGAGTTAGTCTGAACGCTGATCTCAGAGCTGATCCAGAGTTAGTCTCAACGCTGATCTCAGAGCTGATCCAGAGTTAGTCTCAACACTGATCTCAGAGCTGATCCAGAGTTAGTCTGAACACTGATCTCAGAGCTGATCTAGAGTTAGTCTGAACACTGATCTCAGAGCTGATCTAGAGTCTGATCACTAATCTCAGAGCTGATCCAGAGTTAGTCTGAACACTGATCTCAGAGCTGATCCAGAGTTAGTCTGAACGCTGAACTCAGAGCTGTGTTTGTGTTTGTCAGGTCTGTGCTGCAAACTTCGGTGATATCTGCCGTGTTGTTGGAGGAGACGCCACAGAGGAGCTGCTGGTGAGTTCAGCACTGTTCACTGATGGGTTTCACTTGCTGTGCAGTGGGTTACACTCGTTTAACAGGTTATTTACATCAGGTTGGACTTGTTGTGCAGCGAGTTGTGCTTGTTTTAAATCAGGTTTTGCTCTTTATTTTTGATGAATTACACTCTCTATGATGAGTTACACTGTGTTTTTGCATTGGTTGATTCTTGTTTTCCCTCAGTATTTTTATATATGAAATTATTTTCCTCCACATTTTCTGATATTTGTAAACATTT